ATTACATAGTAGTTTGATCCACCAAAGGAAGAGACTGGTGTTGGTCCATAGACATCAGAATGAACCAATTCTAACTTATGAGCTTTCAATGTCTACCCCATCTTTGCAAAAGAAACTTTTTTTTTTCTTGCCAAGCACATAGGGCTCACAAAACTCGGAATCCACCCTCTTTAGATCTGGAAGCTTTCCTCTTGCGACAAGCATCTTCATTCCTTTTATGCTCATGTGGCCAAGTCCTTGGTGCCATAGAACAGATGGACTTTGCTTGCTGGTTACTGCATTCGCTTAATTTTCAGAATCGGCCATGTATAGAATACCCCTCTTCTTGCCTCTGGCAATTATGAGATTACCTTTGACGACTCTCTATTGCCCTCATCCAAACGTGATGTTAAATCCCTGATCATCTATCTGCCAAATGGAGATGAGCATTTTCTTAAGATTAGGGATTACGCTAACGGCCTTCAACGTCCAGATAGTGTCTGAATGAGTCTTTAGATCTATGTCAGCCATCCCTGTGATGTCAAGAGAGTCTTTATTAGCCAAACGAACTTTACCAAAGTTACCTGTCCATAGATTCTTCATCGTCTTCGTGCTAAAAGTAGCATGGAATGATGCACCAGAATCCATAATCCACGACTCAGTTGAATTCTCAACACAACAAATAAGTGCATCATCTGAGCTGTTTATAGTGGCATTCACCTTTTTTTGCTCTGGCGGTTTTGAACACTGATTTCTAAAGTGCCCATACTCTTTGCAATTCCAGCATTGAATGTCCTTCCTTGGCTTTGACTGACCCCTCATTCTGGAATTTGATCATCCTCTGTCATTTCCCTTTCTTTCTTTCTGTGCTCAACAGGGCGTTTGAAGTTTCACCCGAGTTTCGCCTTCGTATATCTTCTCCGATGATCAAGTCACGAATGCCTTCAAAAGTGAGTTTTAGAATTTCTTGCTGAACTACGAACGGCTGTGACTGTTCCTGACCAAATTTCAAGTAATGAGGATAACAAGAGCAAAGACTGAACTTCATCGTCAAACTTAATATTCACCAACAACAACTGGGATATTATAGTATTGATTTTGTATGTATGCGATGTAACAGATGCACCTTCTTTCATTCTCGTATTCACCAATTGTCTTATCAGAAATGCCTTGTTGGAAGTCGATGGCTTCTCGTACATGTTTGTCAATGTCTTCATCAACCCATATGCGGTAGTCTCTTTCAGAATATTGAGTCCAACGTTTTTGGCTAGTGTAGATCTGATAACTGACAGGGCTTTCTTGTTAAGGATTGTCCATTCATCATCGTTCATCGTCTCAAGTTGACTTTCTGTCAAAGGCAAATCCAGATCCTTCTGGCAAAGCAAATCCTCGACTTGCACCTTCCACCAACCGAAATATTTTCCGTCGAACTTATTAATCTTGGCCTTTCCATCCTCAGACATGATTTAACTATGCAAATACAAATTCTACAATTTGCAGGATGCATCGGATTGAATCTGCAGCGTGTTGTCAGCAATCAAGGCTACCGAGTAGATTGGACGACGCTGCTTCGGGATCTGACGAGCTGACAGGTCTGACGGCTTACGGCTGATGGGTTTGAGGGTTGATGTGTCTGACGGCAGACATGTCTGGCGTGTCTGACGCTGATCTGACACAGTTTTGCCCTGCTCCGATTGTGGTGTGTTCTGTTGCTCTTGAACAAGTGTGACTCGTGTGAACAACCTCGCTCTGATACCACTTGTTAAGATTAACTTTCACATGCACACAACAAGAAAGTAGAACACAATAGAACACAAAGGATTACGTGGTTTAGCCGATAAAGGTTATCGACCTACGTCCACGGGGGCAACCGAGAAGCTTTTTTTTATTACTACAATATAAAACGGCTTTTGTTTTACAAGTACAAGAGATCGGTATTTATACACTAGGTTTAGGGTTAATAAAAATTGGGCCCAAACTCTTAAGCCCATTAAGGTTAAATATCTAAATAAACCTACATTTAACATAAAGATCGTCACATTCTAGATACAATTCATGTCCTCATCCATCCACCTCATGTCCTAATCATTTTCTATTGCCTCTGTCTGCAACATTGAAAAGATCTTCGGTTAGTCCCTCGATTACTCTTTTCTTTGTCCATTTGGTTGTGTTTGTTTTTTTCTTCTTACACCTCACAAATGTAATAAGCTTGAACCGCAGGCTCATTCGTAATTTTTTTGGGTTAATGGGTAGAGCATAAGGGTTATTGGTGTTGGAATCCCGTGTCTAAGTGTCTCCGTATCTCTTGTCATGTCACATTCTGGGAGCATCAAGTATTCTCATATGTGTCCAAATTTAATGTCTCATCTCACTTTTCCTCTCAATTACACACCCGTGATCTTTCTCTGTTTTTTTCTACCTTTGCAAGTCGTGAGCTAACATTTACTGCTCCTGACACAGTCCCTCCGTCCCCGTCTCCTCCAATGGATCCGTTTGTGCCTCATGAACCAGTACCCAAGCCATCTTCAGATGTTCCTGCTGCCACTATCCCCCGCTCTACTCGTGTAAGCCAACCTCTCGTTCACCTCCTTGATTTTCACTGCTATTTTCCCATTTTGTCATAGCATGAATTCAAGTTCTTTTAGGAGATTAATATTGACCATTTTTTAGGCAAGCTATGTCAGAGGAACTACAGTCTCTTGAGAAGGAAGACACTCGGGATCTTGTGCCTCTACTAACGGGCAAATGTCATATTGTGTGCAAATAAGTTAACAAGATTAAGACTCACTCAAATTGTTTGAGTGAATACTACAAAACTTGTGTTTTAGTAAAGGGTTATTCTCAAGAGTATGGTATTGACTACGAGGAAATCTTTGCTCCAATTCTGCGTCTTACCACTATTCAGTGCTTACTTGTTATTGTTGTTGTGCATCGGTGGTCATTACTTCAGTTGGATCTTAAAAATGCCTTCTTGCATGGTGATTTGATCTAGGTTGTCTACATAAGTCTCTCTCTAGGTACTGAAAATTCCAGCAAGGTATGTAAATTATGTCGGACTCTTTATGGTCTGAAACAATCACCTTACGCTTGGTTTTCGAAATTCAGCATTGGCCTTACTCAGTATGGTTTCTCTTCTAGTACTCATGACTTGGATCTCTTTATTTGTAAGAGCTTTTCTAGGATTATTATTCTATTATTGTGGGTTAACAATGTGATTGTCACTAGGGACGACATCTTTAATATTTTTTAATTGCAGGCCTACCTTTGTCAGCATTTTGAGATGAAGCGTCTTGGTCCTTTTTGTTATTTTTTGAGACTTGAGATTTCTAACACTTCAGATGTCTTCTTCTTGTCTCTTGCCAAGTATGCATCTGATCATATCTCCTATGCTGGCCTGACTGATAGAAAGATCACCTCTACACCTCTTGAGGTAAATAGTTGCCTCACTCATCAGGATGGTTCTATACTTGATGATCTGATTCTTTATCGTCAGCTAGTTGGATCCTTGATTATCTCATAGTATCTCGTCTTGACGTAGCTCATGCCATCTATATTGTTAGTTAGTTTATGCTACTCCGTCCACTGCATATTATTCTGCAGTGCTCCATATTATTCGCTATGTTAAGGATATGCTACTTCATGGTATATGTTTTTCAACTCACTTGTCCTTAGTTCTTGCGGGCTACTATAATGCAAATTGGGCAGGTGATCCCACCAATCGTCGATCTACTACTGGTTTTTGTCCTTCCTTGGTGACTCTCTAGTTTCTCGTCTCCAAGTCTAGTGTTGAGTTCGAGTATCATGTTCTTGCTCATTCTACATCAAAACTTCTATAGCTTCGTTAGTTACTGTCTGATCTTGGTGCCCCTATCTTGCGTCTGCTACTCTTTATTGTGACAGTTAGAGCACCATAGAGATTGTGCATAGTAATTCCTTCTATGAGCTCATGAAGCACATAAAGATCGAGTTTTATTTTGTGAGGCAACACATGGTTGCCAAGACTAATATATTGCATCCAATTTTCACTAAGGATCAACCAGAGGATCTCTTCACCAAATCTCTTCTTCCGATTCATTTTAATGTACTCGTACGCAAACGCAAGTTTATGTCTACGGCACCACCTTAAGTTTGAGGGGAGATGTTAGCATATATATTTTATATTATTTTGTATTTAGATATTGACTATATTGCCCCTATGTACAAATATATGTGCTAATTTTGGAATGAAATATACAACTCTATTCTCCAAAACCAACATCTATTCATATAATATATTCCCTATAAGAGAGTTTTATTTGTTCTTACTAATTAAATTATTTATTTTTAGAAATAAAAGGAAATAAAATAATATCTAAGAAAAGATCGCATAAATTTAAAAACTTCCTCCACATATTTGCATTTTTTTTATGATATTATTGTAGGCATCTTGACATAGATAGTTAAATATTAACGTATAAAAGTATGAATAATATAAATCTGTAAGAAAAAAGGTTCACTTACTTTGATGGTGGTTACCATGCTCTTAGAGTCAAATCAAGATGGCGCTAACTTGACTCAATTAGCATATATATAGAAGAAAGACTATATTTTTATATACCACAACAATATATTATATCATATAAAAATATGTGTTGTGTAGGTTATATATTATACTGTGTTGTATAAATAAATCTACAAGGCTGAAATAAATAATATATTGTACTACATGAAATTATATTATGTTCTATTAAAATATGTATTGTATATCATATTATCATATGTTGTCAGATATGCGCAGTTTGTCATATATATATATATATATATTGACTGAGTCAAATCAACATGGTGCTAATTTGACTAATTAGCACTATAACCGAAGTTACTCTACTTTATTTGTCGTAGATTTTGTGCACATGACTAAAATAACAATTCTTTTTTAAGAAAATATTAATTTATTTTTGTTGAGATTTTTATTTCCAAGATATTTTTTATTCATCTTCTTATTTATAACGCCTTATTCATCTTCTTGTTTATAACGCCATGTCACATCTTCTCAGATGACTTCTTTATTCCCTTCTTCTTCAGCTGAGAAAAAAACCCTAATTCCAAAACCATCAATGGATTCTCTAATAAAGAAACAAAAATTGTACCCTAGCTCCATCAACCCATTCTATAAGTTGCCCCATGAAACCATCGTGGAAATCCTCTCCAGACTCCCCATCAGATCTGTAATTCAATTTACCTTTACCTGCAAAACCCTATACCCCCTTTCCGCCGATCCCCTTCTTGTCAAACTACACCTCTCTAGATCTGAAAATTCCTATCTCATCATCCATTCTAAGAACCCCCTCAAAACCCACCTTTATTTTCTTCAACTTTCTGACCAGAAAGTGTACGAATTTGAAACCCCATTTGCCTCTTCCATGTCAGAATTTAGCATCATCGGTTCATCCAATGGTCTACTTTATCTAATCGATTCTCTATTCCCACAGCATACGTATCTTTACAATCCCTTCACAAGGGAGTACTTTGAGATTCCAATTAAACATGAGAATTGTGGTCAAATTGTTATCCATGGATTTGGATTTGATCCTGTTGGTTGCGACTATAAAGTTGTAAAGATTGCATATTGCCGGGATAGGTATACTTATCATGTTAAGGATGAGTATCAAGGGCATATACGGCCTTTACCATCAATAATTGAGGTTTATAGTCTACGTAGAAACAGTTGGACATATAATGGGATTGTTCCCTACATATTAGAGACATGGTCATCTCCAGGAGTTTTAGTGAACAACAGGCTTCATTGGGTGACCGTATGGGTGAAGAAGCCCAACTGGCAATGCCACAAGCGCTTGATTGTGTCATACAACTTGGTTGATGACACAATTGATGAAATGGCTTGTCCTTGTTCCAATTCTAATTATATATTTGATAGATTGATTATCAGTCATTTGGCAGTATTGGACAAACGCCTCTGTGCTTCGTTGCCAATGTTAGACCGTGATGCATTTGATGTATGGGTTATGAGAGAGTATGGGGTGGATGAGTCGTGGGTGAAGGAGTACTCCATATGTATTAACTTTCCGTGGTCACTAATTAGGCATATTGAGCCACCACACCATATTTGGCAGAACAGGTTTGGAAAGAATATGGTGAAGGTATTGGGCATCTTGGAGAGTGGAGAAGTCATTTTGGAGTATGTAGGAGAACGTTTGGTTGCATATGATCCTTGTAATAAAAGCTCCAAGGAATTGAAGTATAATGGAATGCCGAGAATATATCAGGCAATGTTTCACATCGGCAGCCTTGTGTCTCCACATTTGGTATTTATACGCTCAATTATCCACATTTGGTAAATTCTAATATTGTTTTAAATGTTTTATAGTAGGATTGAATGATAAATAATTATTGTAATGTCATTACTCCTTTTTCAATAGAAAGTCAACCTTAGTAGATATCCAACATCATCTTCATATGCAAACATAGTGGTAGAAGATGTTTGATGTTCTAACCACCTTGTCTTGTAATAGTTTTATTTAATTGAAAACAATAGAAAAACTATGTTTTCTTGAAAGTGATACAATGAAATTTAATAATATAACATGTCTGCAATTTTTGAACGGTGAAGCGAACACTAATAAAGCAGAGGACAAGACACCCTAGGATTTCGTAAATGGGTCAAAGGTGCAATGTGATTTTAGATTGGCTTTGCAAATCAACATGTGTATGATTTTTCAAATTATTACAAAGTCAGTATGATTAAGTATTGTATTATCTATTCTAAAAAAAGAACATACACTTTGCTTAAAATCCTAACAGGTTGAGTTCAAATTATCTAATCTGCTTAGTTTAATATAGCATGGATATATAGGATTGTTACATGAATTGAAGTATAATTGAATGCCGATAATTGAAGTACTAAAAGACTCAAGGAATTGAAGTATAAGGGAATGCCGAGAATTTATCAGGAAACATTTCACTTTGTAGCCTTGTGTCTTTGCATTTGGTATATTCCATTTCAATTTGTAGTCCTGTGTCTCTGCATTTGGTATATTCCATCTCACTTTGTAGCCTTGTGTCTCTGCATTTGGTATATTCTACGCCTAATACTTCACATTTGGTAAATTCTAATATTATTTTAATTTTCTTATAGTAGGATTGAATGATAAATCGGTGAGAAATAAATATATGTAATAAAATTACTCCTTTTCAATAGAAAGCAACCTAAATAGATAACCAATTTCATCTTAATATGCAAACATGATGTTATAAGATGTTTGATTGTTCTAACCATCTTCCTTGTAATAGTTTGTTAATTTGAAAATTTTAGAAAAACTATGTTTTCTTGCAAGTGATACAATGAACTATGACAACATAACATGTTTGCAATTGTGCAGGATAAATCGGGTACGGACACTAATGAAGCAGAGCATGAGACACCATAGCACTGTCTCAATGGGTCAAAGGTGAAAAATGTGATAATAGATAGGCTTTGCAAATCAATATGTGTACCATTTGTCAAATTATTACAACTAGTATGTTTAACTATTGTGTTATTACTAGTGTATTCTAAAAAAGGAACATATACTTTGGTTACATATGTGATATCATCGATACTTTTAATTTATTATTATTATTATTTCTAAAAATCCTAACACGTTGAATTCAGATTATCTAATCAACTCACTTTAATATAGCATAGATATATAATATTGGTTACAAGTTATTTACTCCCTGTAAAAGTAAATTATGAAATGGTTCATTATTTTAAAGGCATGACTTTTAAGTTGTATCCATATGATGCTAGAAACATACAATACAAACGAGTTAATGCAATGGCTACATGATTTCATTTGAATGGTTTCTTGACAATAGATATACAATCTGAATGAGATTAGTATTTGGCTAACTACGAACGTAGTTGAGATTTTTATATATAAATTTGAAGTTCAGCATACATATATTGCTTTTCTAACTAGATTTAAATTATATCCTAAGCATAGTTATTTATTTGCTTATTTTCAGTGATTCAATAGTATAAACTCATTACACATTTCTCATTAATTTAAAATAGATCATATTCATATTTTTTGTATGAGTTTTACCTAGATTCTCACCTGTCAATTTTTCTTTTATTTCTTTAAGTGAATACACACACTTAATATTTTAAGGTCTCGTTTGGATTGGTTTTTCAAATGGGCTTTTGGCTTCTGTTTCTAAGCAAATACTTTATACTTGTTTGTATTAACTTTTATAAAATAATAGAAGCATTTTTAAATTAAAATTATTGTTACTCAATACTCCACATTTGGTAAACTTTAATATTGATTTAATTTATTTTATAATATGATGAAATTATAAATCATTATAAAATAAATAGCTGCAATAACATTGCTTCTTTTGCAATAGAAATTTAACCATAGTAGATATACAACAAAATTATTTAATTTACAAACAAAGTGTCGTTAGAAGATGAGTGATTGTAACCCCTTCCCTTGTAATGGTTTGCTTTATTTGAAAAATATAGAAAAACTTATGTTTCCATGCAAGTAATAGAATCTAACATATTTGCAATTGTGTATGGTTGAATTGGATCAAAAGTACTTTATGATTACAGACAGGCTTTGCAACTCAACATGTGTACCAATTTTCAAATTTGCAAAGTCAGTATATTTAACTATTATGTGTATACTCAAAAGACACCATATGCTTGCTTATATAGGTATATCATCAAAAATTTTAATTTATTATTAATATATTTTTTAAAATTTTTCAAAATCTTAACATCTTTAGTTCAAATTGTCTATTATCTAGCTCGACTCACTTATATAATATTGGTTGGTTATGTGAAGTTATTTACTCTTTGTAGAAGTACATTATGAAATAGGATTTTGTTTCAAAGGCATTCCCTTTTAGTTCATTCTTATGACGCTACCAACATACAATCTAAACGAGATACTGCAATGACTACAAGATTACATTTGAATGGTTTCTTGACAACGGTTATACAATCTGAATGAGATTTTTGTTGGCCTAACTACTAACATATTCGAATTTTTTTATATATGAACTTATCTTGTGTTTGTTCATTAACACAAAGGAATTAAAAAATATTGTTATAGCAAGGCTAGTTAAAAAATTTTGATGCTCTTACTAGAATTGTCCAAATAGCTCCAAAGTGGCACTTTTCGGTTCAAAGAATAATTACAAATAAATCAAAATAGGAAATGCAATTAATATAAATTAGTGAGATCGTAGGCACCAAACTCCCAAATCATATCAATGGCCGGTGAGAGGGGCATTGCTAGGTCATAATGACTTAGGGGGGTGTATTCAATCCGAATTCTGTAGGATTTTGTTGGATTTTTAAAATCTAGTGTATTCAATCCAGACTTTTAAAAGCCTTTTTAAAATCTGGAGGTATTCAATCAGAACTTCTAAAAGTCCTTTAAAATATGAAGGTATTCAAAACAAACTTTTAAAAGTCATTTAAAATTACGTGGTATTCAACAATCCTTATACTTTGAAAGTCTATGGATTTTAATAGAAAATTGTGAAAATTTTGTATAGTATAAAATCTCTCATGATCAGTAGAGATTTGATGGATTATTATTATTATTATTATTATTATTATTATTAATGATAAATAAAATGATAATATTTATCAATATTATTATAATTTTTAATAAAATAATAATTAAAAAATATATTAGCGAATTATTATCAATTTTTTTAAATATATATTTTTATATTATAAATATAATTTTTAAAATATTATTATGTCGTCTTTTCTTTTCGATTATCGAATATAATATATTGTCATTTCAGTGTTATTCTTCTTTTTCAATTATCGAATATAATATATTGTCAGTCCGGTGTCATTCTCCTTTTTAAATTATCGAATACACTATATTGTCATTCCGATGACAATGGATTAAATATTTCAATATATATTTTTCATTGAACCGTTAATTTATATTTATTTACTTTTTTATTTTAATATTTTTTCAAAAGTTGTAAATTATATTATTTTATTTTATTTATATACGTATTTATTTTTTATGTAAAAAAGTTATATAAATAATAACAATAATAACTAATAAAAATATATAAAAATAATTTGATATATTGAATGATAATATAATACTACAATTATAAAATTAAAAATATTAATATACAATATAGTAGTGTTACATATGTTATAATGCTTTTACGTTATTAATAATTAATATTAAATTTTATTTTATAAAAATATAATAATATAATAACTTTAATTATAAATATATTACATTTATAAAACTTGTGTTTTAATAATATATAAGTAACTTTAATTATAAATATATTATATTTATAAAATTTGAGTTTGATATAAATTTATATAATTATATATATCCATAAAAAAATTATTCTACAATCTCATTAAATCCGTGTAAATCCATAAAGAATTCAATCAAATATGTAAAAATCCATCTAAATCAATTGTTAAAATCCATCAAACTCCTAATAGACTCCGTGGATTTTCTGAATTTCTAGACGTGACTACATTCATTCTTTCTCTCACATCACCCATATATATTTGCTTAATTCATTTAAAAATTTATTTATAATTTACTTGTGGTTTTGAAAGTCGGAACCATACTATCTCGTACTCCCTCATGATTTAAAAATTGCACAAAGCTCCCTTCTATCTTAGAAAATATTGTACAAAATCTCTTAAAAACACATGAGACTCCTTTATATTTTTAAAAATATTGTATATAAAGAAGTATTGTTAATAAATTCTATTAAAAAAAGAAAGAAGAAGAAATAAAATTAAAAAAAGAAGGAAAGAAAGAAAGAAAACTATTTAATTCAAAATTTAAAAAAAAAATGAGAGAAAAAATATAAGTTATGAGGCCATACAATCCTTCTAACTATTTATATATAATATATAGATGGTAATTATTAATCCGTCCCACCAAAATATGATAATTTTCTTTTTTTTCTTCTTGTTGTTCCATCCAATTATACTACTTTTCATAAAAGACAAAAATTAACAAATTTTAATAACAATTACATTTTAATTAATTAAAATAATCTATGTATAAGTGTGTTTGTTTAGTTTTTTAGTTCGAATAGTTTTTATATTAGGTGTAAGAAAGTGTCGTTAATAAATAATAATATTTTATATTAAATTGTTGAATTTTTATAAGTGTAAGTATATTTCTATTATTTGGAGATACATTCTCGGTTGATAGTCAAATTAGCATTATATATGTTATTTGATTCAATCAACATATATAATAAATATAAACGACATATTACATACAACAAAATAATACGGTGTTATATAAAAATATGTATTGCCTACTTTTATTATATACGTTATTGGTCAAATCATGATGTAGATTTGATCAAATCAACAGAGATTTGCATCTAAATCATACATATTGTGTAATATTTTTTATATTGTTATCCGAACAAACTCTAACTTTATCTAATTTTTAAATTATTTGTCATTCCAACAAATCATAATCATATTATTTGTTCGATTATTTTAAATTACATAAACTAATTTTTTTCAAAATAAAATAAAATAAATATATAATAATGATTAGTATGCTCACATTTATGAACCAATAATATTTTTAAAAAATCAAAATTCTGAAAATTTTTATTTTGCAGGGTGGTCATACATGCATCTTTCAAATATATATTAGTGATATCCACATTAAAACTAAATTTTTCTATAATACTAATATTATATATAAATTTAATTATGCAAATATTATAAAATTAATGAAATGCACATCTAAATATCTTGTCTCTTATTTGTTTGCGTCAGAAAAATTAATTTTAAAAAATAGATTATTTTTCTCTTTTTATTTCATTTCTCCCCTTATAAAAAATTATAGATAAATGATAATTGAGAACCCTTAGTGTTTCTTTATTTGATTTTTTTTTACTATTTAAAATTTATTGTTTTTAGAAATACATATTATTATGATCTCATAAAAATAATATTTAAACTATGAATCAAATAAAAAAAATTATTAACTAAATTAAATAATATTTATTCATATATTCTCACTACAGTGAAACCCTCTCTTACCTGATTCATTGTTATTTCCCGTTCTATTCATTATTTTATTTTTCTCTCACAACACATCGTCCCTCCTGGATCAATTCATCCATATATTGTTGTATTTTTTTTATGTTTTTAACTAATTTTTTTTTTTTTTTGCCAAATAGAATAATTAGTTCTCATTCTCCATTTAATTTATTTTATTTACAATTTTATTATCTAATATCATTTTCATTTCATTCTCTGTCAAATGCACCCTTAGACATCTGTATTTTGTATTATGCAGTCTCCATTCTACCATACAAACAATGTTTTTATCTGACAAAACCATTAGACGAAAACTATTGTTAAAAATATTCAAAACAAATTCCAACCTAACAAACAAAAAACAATTTTATTCAAAATTATTATTGTTTATATGTTGTAAACGTAATAGTTACATGTATATCACGTAGTGTACACTTCTGTAGTATGTAGATGCTTTTGTATCATGTGTTTGACGAGCTTGTGCCTATAAATACATGTATAAATTGATGAAATAAGACA